AATTGTGCACCTGCCATAATTTTTTGTATTTTGTGAGGCATCAATTTTACATTCATGGATCTTTTGTGAGCTACATTTACAGCCATAATATCTGCTACTCCCCATCACTGTTTAATGGAACTAACATATGGTTACTATCAGCAGCATTTGATACATTTCAGGTATGTGTTGGGACAATTTTTACTTCAGCATGATGGCTTTTTTTGAAAAATGCTATGCTGTTTTTGTTTGCAGATGTCCACTGTTCTTAAGAGTCAACAATGGACCCCTTTGTCAGGGTACTAAAAGGATTGTGCATTTTGGGCTTCTACCTGTTTTGTTACAGGGACACTGCAAATGCTATCATTGGTCTCATGTAAATTTCCAGATCATTTCATGTTAGTTAGACTTTGCCAGCCATGCATGGAGGACAGGAAGAAGAACCCCACCAACACATGAAGTAAGTATTAGTGTATTAGTATGTTAGTACAGATAGGTTATAAATGATCTGTTAATTTGTACATGTTTGTTGCCATTGCTATTTTATAATTGTGCCCGTAGCTGATAATAATCTAAATAATAAGTTATGGGTCAGTGGTTAAAAATCTCCATCATATATGCCCAATTTTTGAGCAGAATCAGTCAATTAGTAGTTTCCCCATGGGTATTCATGTAGCAAGGTGATGGATCATTAATCTTAAACCCCAACGTCATTTTGAGGGTATGGTTCAGTGATAATAGAACTTCATTTGTGATATTTTATTCAGATATTTGACCAAGTGAATGGCAGTTGTGAATGGATTCTATATTATTCTCAACAGTAAAAGAATGAAATCATGTTATAGCATGACAAGTAGTTCCCAGAGAACCAAATCATGCAGAACCAGGAAGGGCTTGCCTTAACACTTTTCCATTACTTGGTTCAGTCAGCCAATCCTGATTTCTGCCTGACAGTGTGCAGCTACCCCACAATAACAAAGCACATATCACAATAAAATATATACATTCAAAGATTCCTGGAACAAAATGCACACACAGAGTAACACATTTTACATTTTGGTGTAGCTGCACCTTGCCTACCACAGCCTGGCCCTTATAGCTCCATGCCAGCTAAAGAAGATTTCTTTTAGTTAAATCAGAGATAAAGTCTCATGTGAACTTTCTGATAATTGTGTGTATACACATTCTAACAGCACACATGTAGACAGTAAGAATGAGCTTTCTTCTACGTAGGTTGGAGAGTGTGTTACCACCAGCAACACAGGGGGACATTGTACATAATGAGTGGTGGTAAACACTGCCAAACCACATTGTACATGGAGGCAGAATGTATGCAGGGGCCCTGTTGTGCTGTTTTCAGCAGACGATGTGAAAACCAACACTTTTGGACAAAAGTTTCAAGATCATGTGTGAATTGAATTGAATTGGAATGGCTGGATGAGGAAGAGCTTTAACAGCAACATGCAGATATGAGAATATTCTGACAAGGAGGCTCTGAGCATCCTGGGCATTAGCAGCAATACTCAGAAAATTCTGAATACGGGAGGATACCCCTGAGTATCCTGGGCATTAGCAGCAATACTCAGGGATGCTGGACAATGAGGGGAACCTCAGAGTATTCTAGGGCATTAGCAGCAATACTCTGAAGTAGACAGTCACACATTCTGCTGCATTCTCCATTCGCGCCTGGCATGGTTAGCTACGCAGCCATAGTTCTGTGGTACCAAATGAAAACTGTCGCTTTCCTACCATTTGGTGAGTTTCTGCACGTGCTCTGTGTACCTCCAGTGATTAGCAGGTGTGACTGAACCATTGTTTGAAGATCCCTGATGATGGAGGCAGTGTGACCTCTGAAGCCTTGGTGGACATCTACCAGACTATCCGGCGCAACAACCCAGAAGACAGCAATCTTCAGACTCACCGTTGTGAAAACCTCAGGTCTTCCACCTGCAAAAGAAGTTGCATTGGTCAACTATTCCACTTGTAGTTCTAATTTTGTGGCATTCACAATCACAGTCAGACTGAAATGATCCTATAAATTTCCTTGAAACTAAATTTGTGTAGGCTGATATACATTGTTAAGAATCATACTGTGGTAAGCTCAGTATTTCATAACTCTGTTGAAACAATTTTTGGGCCCTGTGAACCACAACACACTTGCAAGTCAGCAATTAGAATAGTGCTAAACTGCATTAATTTCTTATTACTGACATTAGAAAAGGCATTAAAATGCCACTAAACCAGAAAATTCAACTAAAAGGGAAATACAGGAGTGCTTTGAGACTAGCACTGAAACAAGCCTGGTAGAATCACCATCTCATAAGTGCTACTGCTAGTAGCTGACAGCTAACAGGAATGCTTAAGAGGAAACTTGATAACCTATGCAAATATTTGATTCAACAAATGGTGCCCATTTTTTGAGGTTGCTTGTGATTATTTTGTTTCAGTTTAATCATATGTATGTGTCTTTGTAAATGTTGTACCAGATGTGTGAACTACATAGAATTGAGGACATCACTTCAGGGTTGAAGCACATTTGATAAGTAAGCACATGCAAAAACAGTGTCTGAAAGTAGTAGGTTGTGTAACAACTACTAACAATAGCAAGGAGAATGAGGGGTGCACTACTTGATCTGTACTGAAAGTGGGCCTTATGCAGCCAGGATCCAGCAACGACTGTGGCTATAACCTCAATCCTACTAGCAAGCAATAAGAAGAAACCCTACAAGATGTGCACCAAACCTGAATCTCGCACAGTCATGATTCAGTAACAGGTACACTTAAAAGCAAATCATTAACAAGGTCAGAGATTGTGAATGTTGTCCTGAAGTAATTTTTAAAATGATTCAAAATATTGGTTAAGCCTGTGGTATTGTACGAAAGTGAGACATTCACATTGAGATACTGAGACAAAAGAATAGATGCCTCAGTTATGAGAACTTAAGACTCTTAGCAGGATATACACATTTAGACAAACACTGAAATACGTGGGAAACTTATGACTTATCAGTATGTTGAAGAGATTATTTTATATGGGCAAATATGGAAAGCTGATCATCAGGGTGATGATTGAAGCAGAAGGAACTGTGAAATGTTGGTAAATTTCTGCCAGACCACACAGCGCAGCATCCCAGGAGACAGCAATATTTGTACTCACTGCCATGAAAACCAAATTGCTACTTAAACTGGGCACTTTCTGGTTGCAAGTCTAGAATGTTATCACTATACCATCATGCTTGAATATTTTTGTACATGACAATAAAGTGGCATGGTAGAGCAGTCTGGTATGAGTTATTACAGATTTGTGCACTTTAATTTTTTTAAAAAAATGTGTATTTTGCTCATATATATATAGATTATGAACTAGCATTCCAGTGACATCACTTTCTGTATTGACTTCAAAAATGGCCTAGAGCAGAGGTTCCCAAAGTGTGGGGCACACCCCTCTGGGGGGGCATGTTGTTTGTATGAACAACTTTTTTTAATGAAATATGGAGAAACATTTTTAACATCCTTTGCTTGATTGAGGCAGTTTAGTTGTCTTACAGTGCTGTAGAATTCAGACTCGTAGAGCATAGGCGGTTTTAGGAAGTAAACAGCAAATATGCTCACAGAAGCAACCACATCCATCCCACCAATCCAGGTATGAAGCGTATATTTTATTACAGTTTTTAAAATTAAATACGTTGAATAATGTATACTAAATTATAAAAAAATGTATACTCATAGCTAAATTTTATGTCAACTCTGTTTGCTTGCACTTGTTCTGGAAGGGGGGCGTGAAATTTATGAAATGTTTTAAGGGGGGCGCAAGGTATAAAAGTTTGGGAACCTCTGTGCTATAGGTCTCGCTACGTGATTCATCGCGTGTAATTGATTTTACGTCTACGTATCATTTATTTTATCAGCGGTTGTCTGTTGTTTTTATGGTCTGGTCTGCTTGGAATTAAAGGTCAGATTTCAGCTCTATCATTGCAACCCGAAGACTGGCTAGCCTGACTAGATTTCAGTGGTTTTCCTCAGTCGTCTACGCTATTTATCGTTTTATTTACAAGCGTGTAATGAAGTTCGGACGAACAAAAAAGTTAAACGTAGCTATTAACACTCGTTGCTTCGTGTATTTATTTTTTTACAAAATTACATTTCTCTCATCATTTCAGGTTACATTTACTGTGCGATTTAACATAAAACTAGAATATTTGTGTATTCTGTAGTTACTGGGCAATGTCCATTATAACTATACATCAGAACTCTTCGTTTTTAATCTAGAATTTATTTTCACCAGCTCGCGCGCTCAATAAGAACCCGTTTTTGCATGTAGTTAAAAACATGGCTGTTGAACGTTAAGCCCAATACAATTAAGAGTGTTGTTGTGATTTGAGTGCAGAGAATGAGAACGTTTGCGAATCGTGCTGAGGGAATAATTTTCATGTTAGTGATGAGAACGAACAGGAGACAGGAAAATCTGAATTGTATAGCATGCCTGCTTGTGGGGACGAACCTAGCGGAAAACGTTAGAATAACAAAACACACTTTTTCTTATCGGGTTTTTTTAACTGCGTACGAGACATGGGGAGAATTTTAAAGATAGGGTGGATAAAAAAATGGACGGAATATGGGAGGGAGGAATGAAATGAAGGTACGAAAAGAAAAAGAAGATACGACTGTACATCGATAGCTCACAGAGCACTAATTTATGGTATCATGAAAAAGTAAGACGAAAATTACATAGACATATTTTATGTTTTTCGATTCGTAAAGTCCATTATATATTGAGGAAGAGAGTGTGTTTTGTTGGAGATGGGGAGAGTGATGAAATGGCTGAACCATGAACACAGAATCTTTGTTGTCACTAAAGAAAAGAATGACAAAGGGAGGAAGAGAAGAAACGGGTGACGAGATGAATGAAGTGAAGTGGTGTCATTTTTCCTGTCTCTCCTCTTCATTGTTCTCGTTTTGTTCGCCATGATCATTACGAACTTATAGAATTAGACTCAGTGGCATGTCCCTTCCCATTTAGCCTAAAGTCTCCTACAATCAGTCCACAGTTTTTAATCACTTATTTTTTCTCATTGACCATAATTCATAACATTTTGTTATACGACTATCTCTCACCCCCATCCAAGGTCTTCCCTTCGTTTATTATTTTTATTCTTCTACAGTAATTCTACGAATTTGTAATTGCTTTCTGATAGTTTCCGATCTCGTAGTGACTGACTGGTTAATTTTGATTTGCGTCGTTTCGTAGTGAGCTAAGTCGTTTCCTCGCAATTTTGAACTGCAAATGTTAAGCAATCCGTAAAAAAATGTCGCACATGAGGAATTTACATCCTGCGTGAACACACTATGATGCACAAATAAAGGAACTGAACTGAATTACGACGACTGGGGAACGGATGTGATAAGAGAATTGTATGATTCGCTATTTTTTGTTACAACTGCCAGCTCATTGTGAACTAGGCTTTCAACCTTTTCGCATCCATTGTCCGCTCCATACAATTCGGTTATGTGGAATCGAACTTGGAAACCAGTGACCTGGAAAGGTCCCTAAGTCCATGACAAGTACGAGGGTCGCTCATTAAGTAATGCCCCACATTTTTTTCCTCAGAATATATTTATTCAAGATGGCTGAAATTTGGTGACAATATAAATCAATGTTTCCCTTACACATACTATTTTTCCACATAGTCCCCATCAACTTGTACGGCTTTACGCCATCGTGGAACAAGTGCGTGCATGCCTTGCCGGTACCAGCTCTTGTCCTGTGCACGTAGCCATGTCCTCACTGCTTGAATCACGCTCTCGTCATCTTCAAATTATTGCTTTCTTGTATCTAACAATAAAATGAGGTTAATGTTTTCGACGACCACTGAGGGAGCATCTTTAACGTGCTACTGCGGTATGATGGACCATTTGTATATATACGATAACAGTCAACGCCAAACCTCGACTATCAGAATATTAGAATGTAGCGTAGCGCAACATTTTATGAGTCTAAGATTTGCAACGAACTTATTGTTCCTGTAAGTGTCACAAAATTTTAACGATATTTTTTAAAGACGTGGCGCACTACGACACGAAATACCAATGCACTCTTTCTTATATGTCTCATTTGACGATACACAAACTTAACAGTTGATGCAGCTATCACATAATAACCAAACAGAAGTACCAGATTATCAACATATATTTACAAATGGAACGTAGGTGGAGTAACAAGTAAATGATCCATACATCACGATGGTTTGAGATGTCTTGGATTTCTTTGTTTCTCCTATGGGATCTAGAATGTTCAAATCAGATCACTACCGCTTCCTTTCTTATCTTCAGTTTCATTGGTTGTCATAATCTCACGCCTATTTCTAGGGCATACTACGCCAGCAGCATGACCAAATGTTCTTACTAAAATCTTCGAACTTCCTAACTTCGATTATAATCTCGTAGATGTATCATAAAAGTAAAAGGAAGAACTAAACCTCTTTTATATTATATTCATATTAAGCAGTGGATCGTACGAGGTGCGTAAAATGTCGCACAAGTCGTTGATGGTACGACGTCGATCTTCGTGAAGGGCCTGCCGAATCTTCGTAACATTTTCGGGCGTTGTGCTCGAAGATGGTCGTCCAGAACGCTCGTCATCATCGACAGAGGTTCGGCCATTTTTAAAACGTGAATGCCACACAAAAGTTTGTGCACGACCCATTGCGGACTCCCCAAATGCTTGCTTTAGCATTTCATAGGTTTCCGTAGCCGTTTTGGCGAGTCTTTGGCAAAATTTGATGCACACGCCATTCCGAAATTGCAGGAGGGTCGGTGTAATGCACTACCAAAACGCCCGTAACTAAGAAACAAATGCTAATTCGATGATGCCGGCTGGCACACTGATTCACTATGAATGTAGGCCGCACTCCCTAGCGGCAGAAGCTCGTACTACATCCGGTTCGCCCTCTATTGACACAGTCTCGAAACTTTCCGATCGCACCTCGTATGCAATATTCTTCCTGCCTCTTTGTAGACAGGGAAAAGATTCATGTGGCCACTGGGGATGTGGACATTCCCTGAAATTGAGAACTAACTTCAAAGGCTTTCCTGAACCGCCTACAGCCGGGGTGAAGAGACTGCTGTTAAGATTTCTGCTGAAGCCATATATCGGCATCTTAAACTGAATGAAGGAAGGGCAATGTTTACGAAACAACATCCTCTTATATGCAACTTTGCTAAACGTGGTTTATAATTACCGATTAAATCTACACACCATCAAAACTTAGTGAAATTTTATTTTGTGTGTGCATGCATTACCATACAACAGAAAATTTGGACCCGAAGTTTAATTGTGGCAAAAGAGACATGTCTTAGAACGAAGAATTCCTGGAATTTCTGGCAAAACGTAAACGATCTATTAGTGAAAACTGTAAAATGGTAGTTTGTAAATCAAGTGTATAATGCTGGAAGGACGTACCAACAACACATCTGCATAATCGGAGATATTTAGTCTAACAACATAAAACAGAGGGATGTACGTCATCCCAGAATGACGTAATGTTGACGAC